AACAGTGAAGTACACATGGGCATTCATGTGGTTAGAACACCAAGGTCCAGTTCCCCAATATCTGATTAATGCTCACATCCAAAAATGGTTACTCCAAGGACCGACTGGGAACACTACTGAACAGTGAGTGTTATTAGGAGTCAATAAACTTCTTCAGAACGAGGGACTGATTTTTAAGAAGTTTATTATTATTATTATTTATTGAATTTATATCCCGCCCTTCTCCTTGACTTCCAAAGTCAATCCCTTGTTCATGTACAGTAGTTGGAACAAAGAGGTCATACGAAATGATCCTGAGTACAGTTTCACCTGTCATCCATAAACACGTCTACACAGAGCTTGGCAAATGAGTAAGCAATTGTACCTTAATTAAAGTGAAGGCATGAGGGAAAAGATAAAAAGGAAAGAGGTATAATTACTTAACACCATCTCCCCTCCCTCACTACCTTTCTCTCCTTGCAAACCACCTCTATTTTTACAAGCTCCATACTCTGCTATATATTTACACAATGAAAGTTCTCATCTTTTTCTTTCCATAGTCTTGTCTAATCCAAAAATGACTCTAACTCCGTGCCGTCTCATGAACAATTTGCTTTTTCTTCATTTACTTCTTTTGCAATTTCATTCCCATTTATTTGCACTAACTAACTGAATCACTTTAATTCACTTTTGTATTCATTTCACAACACCAAGTCTTGACCTTATCCCTTGTTGCTCTACCATACAACTAGTTTATGCAGCCCTTTTCACTGTGTTTAGCTTCCTGGGGTGTCCCTGCCAGGCTTCCCAGTTTTCAGTTCCATATAACAAAGTAGACAAAAGCACACTCTTATTACAGTCATTTTTCTCTTACTTCATGACATATAGGCGAGCACAAACTTTTATCCAACTTTCTACCAGCATTTGAATATGTTCACATTTTAAAGTGTTATCCCATTTTTAGTACACGTTTTTCCAGGTTTTGTGGCCAGCTCCACCTCTGATAAGGAGACCAACAATGAGCATTCCAGAAAACCTGGATGAACTGCTGCCTGATTTGCTGAAGGAAGATGAAATTAGTGCTTGTGGTGCTGGTGCTGCTATTGCTATCTGAAGATGAGGAGTTTGAGCAAGGGTGCACCACTCGGACAGTAGAGCAGAGCAGAGCAAGAACATTCTGCAAGACTCTTTGCAAAAAAGGAACCTCATTCCTCCAAATAAGCAACACTGGGGCTGTTTCTATTTAAGAAGAGCATAGAGTTCAAGCCTCTCCATTGGCAACAACCGACTGCTTACCAGACCCCGTGTGTCTTTCCTTCTGATCTGAAACCTTGTGACTTTGACTCTGGCCTGATGTAAGCCCCCCCTCCCCGCCCCAAGTAAATCAGACAGGAAAAATGGTGAGCTTATTTCACTTTATTGTAAGGCTGAGTTAAGAGAATCTTGCAAGTCTAAAAGTATGAATCTCCCACTGTCTCATTTTAACCACCTTATAACCACCTCTTCTAAATTTCTTTTTCTTAGTTATGGGCTTCCCCTGGCATTTATCTGATCCTTAGCTAGATAGCAATTTTTTCTCTCATTTTCCAAGATCATTCTGACGTACCATTACATCACTCTCACTTCCCTTCTCCCAAATTCCCATGGGAAACAAGTTGAGGGCTATGAGAGGGAAAATTTATTATTTTTATTTGTTTGTTTCTTTAATTTCTATAGCAGTCCATCTCAGCTGATTAACTCTAGACTGCAAACTCTTCTAAAATGTATGTGTTTTGTTCCACTCCCCCCCCCAATTCTCAAGATCACTAGTAGGGGCCCTATATTATCTCCTCCCATTTACGTGACAGCTGCCCCTCCCTTGGGAATCTGTGGTTTATACTCACATCTTGGTGCCTGATGTGGAAGGAGCAGATGCGTTTCCCCTTACTTCGGCTCTTGCTCTTCCCGAGGCTTCCTCCACCCCGTAGATGAACTCTTCCTGCTCATCTTGATTATCACCTAACTCCTGCAAGGCCAGTAGTAGCCAAGGAAAGATGTGTTCATTCAAATATTGATCCTGAAAACCTTATACCAATTATAGAACATGCACATCTATTCCTGACCCCCAAAGCATTACATGTCCCAAATTCATTGAGAAGATCTGCAAGGCTGTTCTTACAGATTCATTCCCTCTGTTTTTATGTCTGTTATGTATTTGTCTTACCTTTTTCCATTTCTTCATGTGATGTTATTCAGTTTTTAAGTTCTTATATGTTTGTTTTTTGTATTTAAGAAACATCTTTATTTCGGTTAGAAATAAAAAAAATGGGAGTGCAGTGGATCTGCAAGTTGAAGATGACCTGCTCCCCCCATTATAATGATGTCAGGTGAGAAGGAAGGAAGGAAGGAAGGAAGGGGTTCCTTCCTTCCTTCCTTCCTTCCTTCCTTCCTTCCTTCCTTCCTTCCTTCCTTCCTTCCTTCCTTCCTTCCTTCCTTCCTTCCTTCCTTCCTTCCTTCCTTCCTTCCTCATCTAACTAAATGCCTTCCATGAAAATGGAGCAATCCTCCAACCAAAGTTCATACTGTCCTTTATGCTAATCCCAAAAGTAAGATGTGATTGGGAATAATGCATCTCTGGTCATCCATTCCAGGCAACAGTTTTTTTAAAGTCAATCTAACATATGGGAAGGGGACTTTCCACCATCTAGTCTATTTAATATCATCATTCATTGGTGTGGAGGGAGATCATGTTGTGGATATACACATCTCCGTGTTTGGTTGGAAAAGGTACCTAAATTTTGATTAGAGGCAACCTAAAACAAAGTGAGCAATTCCGAATGAACATGCAATAAAATAGATCCTAGTGTTGAACACAAGGGTCTGGTGCTTGCTCAATCAAGCCACTTTTTATATGCACTATTGCAGGGGTCCCCAACCACAGAGAACCAAGCCGCGCAAGCAATGGGC